TTTTTATTTTTATTTTATTTTTATTTTTATTTTATTTTATTTTATTTTTGTGTGTACAGACATCTGAGTACCGGCATTTGTATAACCCCGAAAATTTCTTCGTATCAAAAGACGGCGGCGGTGAGTCTTGTATATAAAAAAAACAGAAATAAAAATAAAATAAAATAAAATAAAAATAAATAAAAACAAAAACAAAAACAAAAGAACAACAATTAAAAGGAGAAAGGAACAGAGGAGACAACAATAAGAGAAACAAGCAGGCGTAGAAATAAAACAAAATGACGGAGAGACAGAAAAAGAAAATGAGTTAGGTAGAGCAGCGACAGAGAGAAACAAAAACACAAAAACAAAATAAAAGAGATAAGAGGAGAACAGCAAGAGAGAAAAGACAAACCGAGACGGAAACAAAAACAAAAAAACAGAGAGAAACAGAAAAGAAAAGAAAGAGACAGCGCGAAAAACAGGAGACAGCAGAAGCAAACAAAAAAAACACAAACACAGACAGACGGAGAAACCACACAACTTGTAGCGGGGGAGGAGACAAAAGGAGACAGAGAAAAACCTCAACTAGCATCACTACACAGCAGGAGATAGAGAAGCAGTCAGAGCCGCAATAGAGAGAAAATAAATATAAATATACAGCAGCAAAGAGCAGCAGGATACACAAAAAAAGCAAGAAACACCAAAAAGATAGAAAAGGTATTGCAGCAGTGCTGCAGCACAAGCAACAGATACAGACAGGGAGACAAACAAACGCAATATAAAACAAAACACGAATAAAAATTTATTTATAAGAGCCTTCAAGCTAAACCCTAAACCCTAAATAAATAAATAATACTGGGTTTATTCTCTCTGCGTCTTAGGGTTTAGGGTTTGGGGCTAGGGTTTAGACTTCAAGGGTGAGGGTCTAGGGTTTGGGGCCAACAGATTTGGCCTTGGGGTTTAGGGTTTAGGGTTTAGGGTTTGGGGTTTTGCAGGCGCCGGGAACAACTGGGGGAGCGGCTACGCGCAAGCAGCAAAAGTTGAGGAGGAGCTGCTGG